GGGGGGGGGGGGGAGGCTGCCCACGTTTCTCCAGCCTGAGTGGTCGTTGCTAGCCCATAATTACGAATGAATTGTACGACAATAAACTTACCATATTTCAAAACTAACTGGTTGTATGGTATCCTTAAAATCAACCCCCATTGTAACAGTGACAGTTGAACCAACATCCATAGACTCTAAACAGATCAACCAAAAGTATTGCTTAAACATATACACCGATTCAAATGGGTCGATGGAATAAATGTGTCTGAAATAAAGAAGCCGCCAGGGCTCTATTGTAAACTTAGGAAATGCGGAAGTGAAGCGAGCTTACCAATACTTGGAAAATCACTCATTTTTAGGCCAAGACTAAGTTTCTAAGAAGTTGGAATAAAAAATTAAAATTAAATGATGGAAAGACTTACTAACGTTATTTATAGTGGATAACTGGTCTTCAGGTCTATTAAGAACCATCCCTTTATTAGCCAAGTGTTAGCATAGAACAGGGGAAAACACTGACCCTAAACTTATACATGAGGATTTAAGTTAACTACTCTACTCTTCCTAGAGGTCTGGCAAGGGCCATCTTTATTGACCCTGTGTTACCACAGGAGGAAACCTAAACTAATTTTATTCGTACTGCATAGCTCTATCAGTTCTAACCTGTTCTCCCTAGAGGTACATAGCAAGGGCAATTGCTTATTGTTCAAGTAATACTACAAGAGGAAACCTAAACTAAGCTGACTTTATTCATATTGGACAGCTATATAGCTCAAGTAACTTTATTTATACTGGATAGCTCTATCAGTTCTCCCTAGAGGTCCAGTATAAGGGTCATCTCTTATTGGTCCAGTGTTACCACATGAAGAAGTGAAGCCCAACGAAAAACTCGCGCTGTTTGGCAGCGCCAAACCTAAAGAATTACGGTACCTAATAAAACTACACCCACTTACTTTCTCTCCGATATGTATATTTTCAATAACCGAGCCACTATTATTAATAAATGTCACTTCTACTGCAACCATAGTCGTGGAATATATACAAGGACAGCGCGGGAATTTATATTGAGCTTGTAATCCTTGACCTGTCATCTTATTCAGTAATTCATGCGATTTCAACTTTGAGAAATCTGTTATCACCTGAAAAAAAACAACGGACAAACCATAAACATCACTACAGCACATCGAATTTAGTAAGTGGGGCTATCCTGTCACAACATTCCCCATGGAAGGAAACCAGAATGTCCGGAGAAAAACCCACGACTTTCGGTAAAGCGTTGACCGACTCTTTTTACGTAAGTGCCATGTTGCATTCGTAGCGAGAATCAGGGCTGCAAATTACTGTTGGACATCGGACAATGTCCGACTAAATTTGGCAAATGTCCGAGCAAAAGTAATTTTGATCGGACATTGGTCAGATCACAAAAAAATTTGGTCAAATTATACATTTTTTTGCTGTGACAAAATTCGATTGCAAATTCACTCAATTTATTTTGCAATAAAATTGACGAGGCATTCTAGCATTTTACTTTAACGTTGCGCCGGAATGGCTATACATACTTGTCCTGTGACTTAGCCTATATATATCTTGTGACGTATATATGTCCGACCAAATTTAATTTAGTGGTGTTGGTTTTTGTCCGACCAAATTCAAGTTATGTCCGACCAAAATTAAAAGTGATCGGACAAATGTCCTGTCAAGTCGAATGGAAGACGCCAGCTCTGACGACCCTTAAAAGTTTAGCTATAGAAAGTGAATAATTAATTTACATTGACTTACATTCTGTACGACCGGGGTAGGCCCATTCGTGGTAGCACCAAGAGACAATGCTTTCATATCATCCACAAGCGAGGGGGATAACACAGAGTTGTGCAAGTTGTTTGTACCACCATTCACGATCGGCGCCACTGAAAATATAGAAGAACCATTAAGGTAGGATTAAGGCCCATTCCCACTCAGGAAATTTTTCCGCAGAGAGAAACTTTTGTAAAATGTGATGATTGGCCGACACAAATTTTCTGTGGGAAAAAAATTCTGAAGTTGAAAATTTTCAACTTTTAACTTAACAATGACATTTTCGGAAAATTTTCTGCCCGTGGATATCTCTTTTATGGTCAGAAAAAAACTCGTGATGCGATTCATTCCGCCCAGCCCAGCTCATATGAACAGCCCCTATGAACAGTCGGAAGTACCAACTGAATAACTGATTGGTCACAATACCTTCTTCATCAAAGAACAGTAGCTGATCTGTCGAGGAAGGTTTGGGCTCTGGCTTTTTGGCAGCTCTAGATTTTGTTTTCTCCACTTTCTTCGTGGCAACCTAAGGTTAAGAGACACAATACACAATGTCAACATTTGTAGTATGCGAGAAGATATCTAGGGAAAACAGTTTAGAATTGATAGAGCTATCAAAGTTAGTTTAGTAATGTTTTTCCTTAAAATACTATCCAACCTTCTCAGCTGGCGTCTTTTGTTCAGGTTCACTCTCTGACGAAGATTCATCTTCAGAAGTTTCAAGATCACTGTCCGAATCTTCCTCGCTCGTTTTCGACTCCACGCTACTTTCACTTTCTAATTTCTTTCTCACGACTATATCCCTATCATCTTCATCGTCACTTTGTTGGGTATCTACGAGAGGAGAATGGATTGGCTCACTAGTTCCTTCGAACAGCGTCAGTAAATCTTACATGTACATACGACGACAATCAACAAGAGACAACAACAACAACAGACAACAACAATAAGGAAACCAATAACAGCAACAGGAATAACACCAAAAGTAATAATAACAAGAAAAGAACAGCAACAACAACTGAACAACATTTAGCACTAAACGACAGACACCAAACAACAACAGCAACAAGAAGCAACAACAAAAAACAACAGCAACAACAAACAACAGCAACAACGACAACAACAACAACAGGAAACAACAACAACAAACAATAACAAACAACAACAAGCAACAACAACAAATATAACAAGAAAGAACCAAAACCAACAACAACAACAACAACAAGTATAACAAGAAAGAACCAAAACTAACAAACAACAACAACAACAACAATAACAATAATAACAACAAACAACAACAACAACAACCAACAACAACAAAACCTACCAGTTTCAGTACCAGGCAATGACTCCATGGATGACTTGCTGTCACTTTCACTTCCTTCACTCCCACTTTCGCTTTCACTACCACTACTTGACCCAGATCCTAAAACATATTATGAAGTATATTACAACACATACAAGTAGTTACTTGGTTATTAAAGATGCATATGAAGGTCGAAAACAATTTGCATGCTATTCTCCCCCCAAAATTACAGTTTTCCCCACAGATCGTATCGCTAATCAAGTTATCAGTTATCAACAATGAAACAGAATAAAACCATAAAATATACTTTCTAAAGAACGAGTCATCTTTGTATAAGGAAGCCAATCACAAAAAGTGTTCATTTTAGGTTGGTATTAAGTTAAAATTATAAACTTATCCTTAAAGAATCGAAAATTCATTTTGGGTTTCTAACCTGATTCCGATTCACTGGAGTAAAACGAAGACTTCTTCTTTGAACGAGTTTTTGTCTTTTTCTCCCAAATTGGTTCAACCTACACCAAACAAAACACGACTTTTTCATATTTCAATTCCAAGGACATTTTAGGAAAACTAAACAGAACATCAACATTATTACCATCATCATCATCATAGGCTGGATCGATATCGCAAATACCGAATACCGATATACCGCAATCAGAATACCGGTAAATACCGGTATTCCGGTATTTTTAACGTGTTTTTTTTTTAAGCCAAACTGAAGTGCTGACCGTCAAGAAAAATCAAGTTTTGA